TTCCGGTTGAAAATAACCGCAGGTGTTTTACGATTTTACTACAACAAAAGGTTATCGATCGAAAAATATGTTTTCGAATTACTTCGATGCCAATCGAACATTTATTTCATTTGTGAAGAAATTGGCAAGAAGTGTTAAAACGTGCGAGGTTAAAAATATGTTATTTCTACGAATTAACTACAAATTTGCGCACTTAAAATGTTTGTTTCGCAATTGTACGACGAAAAATTCGCTTTATACAGCAAATATCAGTTAATTTGAGTGACTTGAATGTTGACCAAACTCAAATTTTGGTCCTCATTTTCTTAAATACATCGTTCTTGTAATAGATATATTAAAAATTCATAAAAAATAGAGCGAAAAGTGCTTTGAAAACAAGCGCATATTCAAACGACACAACACAATAAAAAAACTCATTTACGACAACAAAAAAAACCCCGCAATATTCACAACAAACCGCAGTAAACAATCAGTACGATAACCCAATCGAAAAATTGGCTAATCATTAACGCGTCCACCGCCGTTACTTTTCGTCATGAAAAAAAAAAAAAGAACTGTAATCATTATCATTTCGGACAAAGGCCGCGAGTTTCTTCGGATGATTCATATCGTCTCTTCCCCGGCGGATTTCTCGCCGATGCGTTTCCTCGTCTCTCGTTGGCAAAAAGTGGGACGCCGAAGTTCGGCAAGTCAAATCCGGTTTTATTTCGGGCCCCGCAACGAATTCGGTCGTTGTTCTCAATGCAAAAAATTATTGTCGCACCGTTCACGCGCCACCAAAGAGAGCCGATGTGTGAGAGAAATGTCCTTCCACTTTCCCGCTGTATTTACGGGGAAAATTAACGCGAAACTTATCGGTTTCGCCCTGTAGTACAGCGCGCTAAAAACCGATAACTTTTTTTTATATCCCTTGAATTGTCGATCGATTAAAAAATTGCATATTACGCGTGCATTGTATGCGGTTTTATTCGTGCACGGTACACAAGATAATGGTCGTTCACCTGTTAAAACTAACTGTTTACTTCGTATAAGCGTTCGAATAAATTTTTCTATATTATATACGAGGGGGACGCGACCTTTTCCGCACGACAGCTTACAGGGCGATTCGCGTTTTGAATTCAAGACCACCCTGTAAGAATATACTCTACTCTGCTTTGAATCTGTATACTCTGAATCTACTCTATACTCTTCAAATAAACTGCTCCACAAAAGTTAAGGAAGTTCGCAAATTTTGCGATTATTTTAAAAGTCACAGACTTTTTGATCACCAAATTTTCAAATATGCGAAATTAAATGTTTTCTCTCATATCTAAGTGTATTTTTTGTCCCTGCCTCTACAACTCTACATACTAAATTTAGCGATCAAAAAATCTGCAACTTTTAAATTAATCTCAACATTTGTGAACTTCCTTAACTTTTGCGGAGCAGTATAATCGAATACGAGATTACAGGGGTGAGTCGATAATTACTACATTATATCTGACTTGAATTTTGCCGTCTGTTTAATTGCAAATTTCATTTCATTCGCCGCTCCCTTTACTTTTACTCGAATTGCTCAATTCGGCTTTGCCTTTTGATTAATGCGTTAATCGTGAGTAATTTTCGACCCGCGCCGATGAGGAAATCTTTATTAAACTGAAAAATACACGCGTTGTGGCGCTTAATTTTTAACGAACTGGCTAACAGAAAGAGAAAAGGCCGTTTCTTGGACACGCATTATTAAAGCATCGTTTGTTATTCGAAATGTGTGTCGCTTAGACGGAGGGGCCGACGACCTTTCGATCAGTCGGCGACATTTTCCAACCCTCCCCCGTATCGTCGCGTGCGACAATTTACCCCGTTGCATATTTACCCCGCAAGCGACGTTGCCAAATTAAATAACATAAAATGCATCACAAAAGTTGGGGAAGTTCGCTAATTTTGCGATTATTTTAAAAGCTACAAGCTTTTTGATCACCAAATTTTCAAATATTTGAAATTAAATGTTGTCTCTCATATCCCCTACCTCTACAACTCATACTAAATTTGGCGATCAAAAAACCTGCAACTTTTAAATTAATCTCAATATTTGTGAACTTCCTTAACTTTTGTGGAGCAGTATAGTTTCGAAAAAATACATTCGAATGATGTTAATTTGGACACGTTTTACAGTTACATAGTGATGTAGTGTTAATTAAATATGACATTCGTTTGTGAGGAAGATGAGGTTATTGTTGATTCGACCTTATTTCTAATTTTTATTAGTTAATTATGTGGATATTTTTGTAAGGGAAATTTGTGATTTTGTTGCAATGTGGCAACGTTGCGTGGTATAATTAGCGCGAGTGTCTTTGTTATGGATTTAATCCGGAAATCTGCTTATTTTATCGCCTTCCCTCGTGCATACTAATCTCTGTCATCGCCTCGAATCGAAAGCGCGATTACATTAATATTTAAACCCGAACAAAATGTCATTCTTTCATAATTTTCGCGTTATGCAATCTTTAAAATAAAAACCATTAGCAATCTCGATTAGTATTTAATATACCGATTTTTGCGTAACGATTTTTTTTTGACTCTCCCGAATGAGAAACCCATCGAAAAAATAAACTAAAAATCAAACTTATTATTAAACCAATCGTTATTTTCTTATAGTAGGTCATTCGTCCGTTTAATTAGCCGTTTCGTTTGGTACACGTATAAACAATTTTTTTTTTGTTCTCTTCTCATTACACAAGTCTTCTTATTGATCCGGTATCTCGACTTATCGGATTGGAAAATGCCCAGCTAACCCAGATTACAGAGCGTTGATCTTTCCCTTTTTTTTTTCGTTCGACAAACATCGAAAATTGATAACGCAATTTCCACATTTATCGATAAATAAATATCGCTTACAGTGCGATCGGAATAGCCGGAGACGCGAGAACGACCTGCGCTGTAGGAATTGTTTCGACCTCTTTCGCATTGTTCGAATTTAGAACAACCGTTTGGATTTTATTTTATGGCTTGTAAAACCGTCGACGGATCGATTAAATTTAATTGTAAATCACGCGTTAACGGGTCGTATTGGCGAATAGAAAGGCCTCCGCTTATATGTAGATTGGGCAATTTTCAGGCGACCTTGACTTTGTGGAAAAATTAATCGAATTAAACGGTGGAACAAACGCGATAATTGGGTATGGTTAAATAAATTAATGTCGTGTGAAATTGGCTTTAACACGAGCGTTTTGATACGCCTTATTTGATAACATTCGTCTTGTTTTTGCGTTTGAAAAAAATTTGTTATAAATTATTGTGATTGGAATTATTAATAAGAAATGTTTGGAATTTCAACGTTTATACGTTTTAAATAATTACGTAACGTTCAAGTACGAACATTTATATACCTTTATATATTTTATGCTTTTATTAAATGCCATTAGAAGTGTTAATGGCGCAAAACTTAAACATTGCGAGTACTTGATATTTTAGAAAATCAATGTTACATCACCGCTCGTTTCGTTCGATGAACGCTAAATATACAGGGGTGTTAAATATCTTTACTAATAGAAAAGCGCGGTGATATTTTCTATCAAATTGCTGGTAATTTACTATTACCATTAAGTAATTTTTTACACATTGTCTAGGTAAGTTCAAAAACGCATTAAATGGCAATTATAGGTTAATGTTGCAGAGAAAACAAACTATACTATAATGTTGTGTGTGTGTTGTTTTCCTTTTTTTCACCTCTATAATATACGTATAGGTAATATCCGGTATATTTCACCGTTCTTCTTTACAATGGACTAATTGATGTGAAACTGTACATTTTCAATTGCAATCAATTAAAAACGTCGTGCAAAACGTACCAGGAAGCATTGAGAACGTCAATCATCGAGCGAATTCAACGTTATAAATAAACGATATTTGCGTATAGCTTGGGTAATGGGGAATCGACCTCAATTCGAATACACCGAAAATAACATTTTGCTCAATTGTAATGCCCTAAAATTGGTTATTAAATAGTACATTTTGTTGCTCCTATTTTTCGATGTAACGGTTTATTATTTATTATAATTCTTAATTAAATGTATCGAGTTTTTTTATGAAATCAATCCTCGTTAGGACTAATCAATTAAAAAATTAATAAATTTTAGAAAGTTTATATCGTATTGTAAATCCCGAAAAATTGTGTTTTTTTTTATTACTATCGCATAGGAACTTTCAATTTCTCTCTCTAATCGCCTCGTCGATTTTCGATAATTGAAATTGCGTATCTCGTTAATATTTTAATTAAAAAAAATACGAATTTTCTTAAGTATAGATAGATATGTAGAATGTAATGGACGGAGAGTTTGTAATTTCTAATTTCTATATATTTTAATTTGTTTGGGCGATTTAAAATGCCAATTACCCGTGAAATTGCTAATCGATAGGCGATAATCGATTTTTCATTTTCTACTTTGCATAATTAGGATTTCAAACGATTAAAAATTTCGGTTTTCTTCAGACACTATGACTCGGAAATCATGACGATTAGTGAACATTTTATTTTGTTGTCCAATGATTTATTGCGCGATCCCTGTATATACTAGATCGATTAAAAAAAACCGTCCAGCTTCGTCAATGTCGGCCGGTATGTATCACTTCGCCGTATATAACATGCAAAAAAAAACTGTATATCTTCGGAAAATTCTCCCTATTTGGAATTCGCTAAGACGGCTGTTAATTTTATTTATGCTATGTGTGTTATTGGCGCCGCATTTGGAAGTGAAATTTCGCCGGTTCGTAAATCGTTTTTTCATTCTTCATCCTCTTCGTTACGTTTAACGTACGTTACCGTGTACGGCTAAAGAACGGGGACATTTGTTCGTTATATTCCTACGGGCGGTAATTATAAACCTAATTAGATGCCTTTTAATGACGATTTTTCGTCGAAATAACCGGCGTGTTTCGAACTAATGCTAGGTAAATGTAAGGCGTTAAAAGGTTTTTTTAAATGTATCAGATGTTGATTGGTTTTTTTTTTATTTGGTTTGCAGCCTCAGCGAATGCTACTTCGCCGGCAAAGGGACGGCCCTGGTCCTGCCGGAGGCGGACGCCGCCTCCAAGGCGCCCGGCGCCCTTTCCGTCACACACAAATCGAACGGCCGCGCCAATTGCGGCGCCGGCGGCGCCGGCCTCCGTTCGCAGGGCAGCAGCACCATACAGAAGCACCTGCAGTCCATGTTCTATCTGCTCAGGCCCGAGGAAACGCTCAAAATGGTGAGTTAACGCATGCCTCTAAACAAGTTCTATTGCATTTTACATAATCCTTTTGCGAGTTTATTTAGAAATACTCATCGAGCCTGCTTATGAAAGTTGGCTTAATTAGCGATACTAACTTTTGAAGCGAGTCGAGCTCGAAGGTTTTTATTTTATCTCGTTTTCTTATAGGTCAGATACACAACAAAGGAACGTACTTCCTTTATAGTACTTTAATGCAAATTACCGCATCTTTGTTTTAATGCCAAGGTTTCGTTCAACACGGTTTTTTTTTTCATTCTTTTTTGTTCAAAACAAAGAATGCGATTATTAGCACAATTTTACCAAGCCCCCCCACTCGGGCGTTTTAATAGCACGAAAATGTACAGGGTGTATACAATGTATTAATTGATTTGTAGCGAAATTTCTGCATAAAAACGATCCCTTAAAACGTTGCACGAATCGCCTATAAAACGGAGGTTGTTGACATTATAATAAACTATTGCTGCATGTTAATGAAATCTTGCTCTATCTAATTGCTTTGCTCAGCGTATACACAACCCACGGTATTATCCAGACAACAATGCAAATTAAATTCGTCAGCTTATTTCTCGATATTATCATTTTACTAGACGGTTAATGATTGGTTTTTTTTTTCTTCTTCTTCATTTTAAGTACCCGCGATATTGACGAGATACAGTCGGGTGTGTTCGTTGATATATCGAACGGTCCTCGTATATTTTACTGTAATTATACAGGGTGACTCATTTAACTATCATTAGTGAGAATTTTTTTTACTGGAAAAGTGCACGAACTCGATTGAAGCCTGCAATTTCCGCAAACGAAGTTTTTTTTTCTCCCTTTAACTCGTTATCATTAAAGAAAATTAACCGTTGCGTTCGAGTACTACCGGTCATTTCGCCCGTTTTTTACGCTTAAATCACCGCATCTAATGATACAAAATCGAACCAGGGCCGGCCTAAGCCCGAATTTAATACCTCCTAGTCTAGGAATGCCAATTTTTTGAAGAAGTTTCTTGGATGAACTTGAAAGAAATCTCGCTTTTAATGCATGCAATTAAATAAAGAGACTTAATTAGTGGAATAAATAGTCTTAGTCCTGACCTGGAAGGTAATTAAGGTTGGTCGTTGCCGATGCGAGAGATAATCCGGCGAAAATAACTCTGTTATTAGGAAAAAAATGCGAAATTGCAGAGCGATTATGGATGCGGGAAATTGTGCAGGAAACGGGGAAAAAAAATTATTAATACGAATGTCGATTTTATTTTTCTACATGCACATAAATAATCGGCGCATAAATAATTTTTGATCGTTAATAAAAATAATGACTGGTTTTATTATTGCTCGAATGCGTCAGTGAAGCGATTCTTTAATCAATATTTTGTTTCGATTAAAATAATTGAATGTTTGAAAACACCGAATCTCCGGATAATTATTCAATAACACTGCGAATTTGATTTTAAAAGACATGCAGTTCTATATTACAAAAATAACTTTTCCCGTCTTCAGCTATACCTGTCGATTTGTAGGTCAAATTATGTTGAAATAGGCTTTTTTACAGTAAAATATCGTTAGAAATCGGTGTAAAAAATGTTTTTTTTTCTCTTAATTTTCCAGGCCGTGAAACTGGAAAGCGTCCATTCGGTTCGAACCAGGTACCTGGTGGTAGTGTCGAGGATGGGCGCCCGGGGCGGCGAGGAGTCCTGCATTTTGGGCATCGATTGCAACGAGAAAACCACCGTCGGGCTCGTTCTCAGGGTATTGGCCAATACTCGCATCACATTGGACGGAGACGGGTGAGTTTAGATTCGAAAATTTCCGAAAAATTTCTATTAATTTTATCAAATATTTTTTAAGAAGCTAAAAATACGAATTATTTCGACTAGAAAATTTTTTTGATTAAATTCTTCTTTGCACACATGAATAATTTGGCGAATTTTTGGAATGGAAAATTAAGATGCACGGGATATTTCGATGATTATTATCGTAAATGAACCGTTCTAATCGTATAATAGCCGATTATAAATGTCAGATTCTATCAGTGACAAGTTTTTTTTTTATTTATTCCTATTATTGGGTGTAACTCGAAAATGTTTAACTGTATACATATCAATTTGCGCATTCCGAATGATCCGACGTAATAAATCCATCTGTTCTCTATTATTAAATAATTATCTATATACATCGATAGAGAAATAAAATATTATAACTTAATCCCGTTAGGTAATTTAAAATTTAATTAGATATGTGCAAAAGTATCGTAGAAATAATGAAGGATGATAATGATTATAAATTGTAAAAATTAATACAATTCTTGTTGTAACGTCACTTAAGGGTTAAAATTAACTTATTTTGTTTAATTTTCTAGTAATATTTTTCTGGTTTTGAAATATGAACTTTCTTGTTTCAGCGGTTTTAGCGTCAGCGTCTGTGATAGACATCATATTTTCAAACCTGTTTCCGTACAAGCCATGTGGTAAGTCATTTTATTTATTTTTTTTACCCTGATTGTATAAGTTTTTTCTACAAATTTCATACCATTAACAGTATTATAACGAACGTGATTACGAAACGCTTAACAAAACTATTATAGATAAATATTACATTGTTTTCCAACGACAGTCCAATTATCTCGTCGGTTCTAAAGACGTTGCTAAACCTTTTATAACGTGCGAATTTACGAGTCGGGACGCCCTCGTGCATATACACAACACAAGGATCTTTTTCTATCTAATTTCTCACTCCCCACGTACAGTAGGTGTTTTTAATGAACGATTCGCAACGATCCTTGAATCGTGTACCTACGGCATTTGATTCAAATAATTCGTAGATAAAGCGTAGTATACGACTGTATATACATTTCCAAAAAAGCCTATTGTACCTATACGAGCGAACTTCCTGGTCGCCGCTATTTTTACCATCCCGGACGCATAATAAACGAATCGAAAACGAACTAATTGCGCGATCGGGATCCGAAAAATCCGGATCTATTATTATCCCGATCGTCCTTAACTTAAAATCCACTCGTTCGGAGCCCCGCGAGGAAACCTTAAATGGAGCCGGGCGGGCCGCGCGTTTTTCCTCTGACGAGCGCAGAGGGGGAAGAGTCTTTTTATAGAAGCGTCGCGACGACCGCAGGCGTCGTCGTTGACCGCTTACGGTACGGATCGACGCCGACGCTTTACTTGGAGTTTATTGCTCGCGCGATCGGGCGAAGGCCGGCTAATAAACTGGCTGGATGCCTTATAGGATAAGAGGCCGTCGAACTAAATGAATGATGCCGGGTGTTCCCCGGTGGAAAATCCGGATTGTATGGAGAATTTATAAGGAGTTTTTATACAAAAAAAAGGTCGTTAATTATAAATAATCAACGTAAGTCCGGTTGAAAAATAAAGGATGAAATGAAAATAAAACTAGCGAACGAAACCGATCGAACGCATCTAGTTTGTATGCGCATCCATTAATTTTATTATACCGTTACGCAGCGGCAATTGAGAGAACTCTTCCTTTTACGGCCGATAACCTTACTATATAAAAAAAACGGTCTTTCGTATATTTACGCCGGTTTTTTCCCCTTTAAAATGTATATACGAGCAAAAAATAAGGCGAGTTGGTAGACTTTCGCGTGCCGAAAATGGTCCCAAAGCGTTTCGCATGCATCGCGTTTGATTGACAAACATCGTAAGGTGTAGATTATGGACAGGATGCGAAAAAAAAAGCGTCTTATTAATTACACCTGGTGTGTTACGAAAAATGCCATTTACCTACGCTCGTTTTAAATTTATGAAAATATTCATTGCACCTATTAGGGTGAGCCAATCGCACGACGAAACATTCCTGAACATCTGTTTGTTCTAATAGGAAAAAAATGATACAGATGAGACGAGTGCTTGCAAAAGTCCGCGAAATTGTACGAATTAGGGAATTTGGGTAATTAAAGAATTTAGCAATAAAAGTGTCTTGCATCTTTAATATCTTTAAAAAAAACTCGGATTGATTTGGTTAATTGGAAAATGCGGTATTTTGGGTTTAAATTCAACCTCTCGATCACTCCTGATTGTTAGGCAACCAATAATACAAGCTTATACCTCATCCAATCTAGCTTAACTACTAAAATATTACAACTGCCAAGCTACATTGGACAAGGTACAGTTTTCTAACATCTCATTCTCGAGATTGCGAATTTCTTAAGCTGCTCTCTTTCTTTCTTAACCAGCAAAAGATAAAGGACACGAAGAAGAAACAGAAACCTATCCTACCCTACTAAATTGTAACTTACCCTGCCTTAACCCTGGAGGTAATGGAGACTTCAATCACCGCACCAGATCGTACTTATATCATCAGAATATACCCAATCTACCAGCATATAGATGTAATATGCGTTTATAAGGCGCGATACGCGCGGGTTTTTCGCGTCGGCGGAACCGCCGGGGTACGGCCATCGCCATCTTGGGTACTTTCAATGACTTTTTCTCCGATGGCGTTTTCGAGTTTTCGGCGCGCCAGTTCGATTAAGGTTGGCGCGCCGAGCGCTTGCTTCTCCATTTCGCGGATCCTTCAAATCGATCGTACGTTTGCGATCGATCCATTGAGTTTTCCCGTTTCGAACGAACCTTTGGATACGTCTGTGAAATAAGTGAAACATATTGCGAAACTTGCGCCCGTTCGTCGAGTGCGAATAGACTCAGTTTTGTGATAATGGTGGTGCAAGATAACGGCCGTTTTCGCAAATGGGGATGGAAAGTCGATAGGTAACGAGCGTTTGAGTCACAGTATTATTTTTTTTTTGTTTCTTCCGAGAAATTCCAATTTGAATGTGTGTATATTCGCGATGTGGCTGAAAAGGAAACGTTCGACGTTTTCTTTCGACGTCCAAGGCTAACTACTAGGCGATTTCGCGTCTCTCCGACTAGTTACCTACCTATCCTTTTAAATCGACTGTATTTATCATCGATAAATGGCGATAATGTGGATGGTTTTCGTTCGGTAATTCCGAACGCGTCCGGCGGAATTTCAGATTAATCGCGTACGCGCAACCGGTCGATGGGTTTTCTTCATCGTCGTCGTCTTCTTTGGGTTACCAGTTATAAATTCGCCGATGAAACTCGTTTTTTTTTTATGCAACGAAATGGGTTTCAATTCAAATCGTACCAGTCACATAACACTGTTATGTGACCCAAATCATTTTCTCGCGTAAAAATATATGCACAACAAAAACGAGGAAACTATAAGCGAAAAACTGAGATAAAGCACGCTGTAAAATTGATATATTACCATGTGTGTTGCGGCGGTAATAATTAAGAAACCGGAAAAACGATAAAAATTACGCAAAACCGGCAAAACGTTATCGCAAGTCGTTCGCAAAAACGTGCCAGAACATGAAAACCACAAACGATAAACTTCAATTTAATTTACTCTCAATTAACATCAAGGATTTGACTCGTTCATAAAAAATGCACCGGATAACTATAAAACCTGTATAGGGATCATTACAAGAACTGTTATCCTGACATTTAAAAAAACCCTATATACCATTCTCCTATTGCATTATCCTACAATTCAGTCCTTTCCACACGACCCTCTATCATTGGAATTACCGATATAAAAACGCTTAGATAAAGAAATTAAACATTCTAATATCGAAGACAATCGGGGATTTTCTTTCGACCCTTACCGATAGCCTATTTATTATCCGTTTATAGGTCGACGCTGCAAACGCTGCACAAGGTGAGCGCGAAGGCCCGCGACCAGAACTACTTCCAAGGCGGGCTGAGCCACGCTTGGGCCGAATACTATGAGAACAGGATCGAATCGGACCGGTCCTGTCTCAACGAGTGGCACGCCATGGACAATCTGGAATCGAGGCGGCCGCCGTCGCCCGATTCGGTGCGCACCAAGCCCACCGAACGCGACGAGACCGAGAAGGTGATCAGGGCGACGCTGAAGGAGATCATGATGTCGGTGGATTTGGACGAAGTCACCAGCAAGGTATTTTCTTGTTTCTCTAGTTTCTTGAAAATATTCGAAGTCACGATTCGAATTGTTACGGTTCGGTTTTAGGTGATCAGGAGCCGGCTGGAGGAGGAGCTGGACATGGATTTGGGCGAATACAAATCGTTCATCGACCAGGAGATGCTGGTCATTCTCGGCCAGATGGACGCGCCTACCGAAATCTTCGAACACGTTTATTTGGGTTCCGAATGGAACGCTTCCAATTACGAGGAATTGCGAAGGAACGGGTAAGTCATCATAAATCTAAAATCCTAAACGAATCTAACGTTTCTCGTTTATTCCAAAGTGTGGGACACATACTGAACGTGACCAGGGAAATCGACAATTTCTTCCCGGGCGCGTTCGACTACCTCAACGTGCGCGTATACGACGACGAAAACACCGATCTACTGAAGCACTGGGACGACACGTTCAAATACATCACGAAAGTCAAAGAGCGCGGCTCCAAAGTGCTCGTCCATTGCAAAATGGGCGTCAGCCGATCGGCCTCGGTCGTCATCGCGTACGCCATGAAGGCGTGCAATTGGGACTTCGATACGGCCCTCAGGCACGTCAAAGAGAAACGCACCTGCATCAAACCGAACACGAATTTCCTGTTGCAATTGGAAACCTACCAAGGCATCTTGGACGCCATGAAGAACAAGGAGAAACTGCAGAGATCCAAGTCTGAAACTAATCTCAAACCGCCCGGCGACGGCGGCGCCAAAGGCGATAAAAACGCTTCGAAAAACGAAACGCCGTCGGACGCGCAAACTCTATCGAAATCGTTCCTAACCGACGGCGTTCTATCGGGCAGAGAACTCAGAATCGCCGGATCCCGTCCGAAATCCTGGTCGCCCGACAACCAAACGACCAAAGACGCGTCGGAGGTGCCGACCAAATCGCCTCTATCCGTTTCCCTCGAAGACGTCAGCCAGAAATCCGCCTCGAAGGAATCGATCAAACCGCTCGAAACCGCATCGAAATCGCAACTGGCCCGACACGTTCTCATGCCCTGCGACAACGGCGAAACCTACAGCGTGTCGCCCAATCAAATCGTCCACCTGCCCGACACCAATCCGTGCAAGTGCGTCGAACGGAAGGCCACCGTCATGGACATCGCCAGCCAATTCGAGAAAACCAGTGAGGAACTGGCCAAGGCGGCCGGTTCGAAAACGGACACTTGGGACCCGGGCGAGGCGCCGCGTCTACACCGCGACATCACCACCACCACCACCACCACCACCACCACCGACGATACCTGTGTTAGTAGTTTAAGTGACAACCGAACGGCGTGGACGTCTTCGATCCGCACCGGCACCGACGGCGATCCGGACGCCGTCGATCCGTTCTCGAATCGCCTCGACGGCGTGTTCGAGCGCGAAGAGGACAAGAAACGGCCGGCGTCGTCGGCGTCGCGCCAGAGCTCGTGGAGTTCGTACGATTCGGCGGTGGCGTTGGGCTATCACCGGGAGCCGTCGGAGTTGTCGCGGCACAGCTCGTGGGGCTCGGGCGATACTACGCGGACGGCGCCCAGCCGGAACAGCTCGTGGGGCTCGTACGACATGCGACAGGCCAGAGGCGGCGGCGCCCACGGACGATACATCAACGAAAAAGGTGAGAGAATTCGTGTACCTTCCTTTCTGGAGCGCTTGGATAGCTCTATGATGTTGATCTTGCGTTACTCTTAAACAAACAGAATGTATAAATATAGTATAATGTGTGTTACATCTTACTTTATATCCATTTAATAAGGGATTCGTTTGGTTTCCAGATTTGACGGAAAGCACCGTAGAAGACGAACCGATCAATTCCAGTGCCATATCGAACAAAATCGACATACCCGTCGACGAGCACCAGCAGGCGATATCGGCGAGGTTGTCGGTCAGCGCTCCGGAACCCTCTTCGATGGAGCTCGTCCAGCCGGAGGAATCGCTCTCGCGATCGGCTTCGAACGTCTCCAAAGACTCGGCGGTGGTCAACACGGCGCAATGTTCCTCCGTCAAGCGACACAAAACGTACCTGGAGAACCTGCGGAACGTCCGAACGTCGACGAGGAAGCCGGACGATCTGCTCGACGGCGCCGCCGCCAACAACTCGGGCAAAGTGAAGAACCTGAAGAAGGAGTTTGAGGCCAAATCGGAGCAAATCGATGCGGCCGAGAAGATGACTGCGAGCCACCACCACAACCAGCAGCAGCAGCAGCTGCAGCAATCGCAGGTGCAACCGGAGCAAAACAGCGTCGACGACGTGAACCTGCGCAACCTGATCGGCATGTTCGAGAGCAACGGCGAGGAGATTGGGCGGGCGACGCGCTGCAGGAGGAAGCAGGACAACAACGTGCGGTACTCGTGCATCGAGGTGTCGGTGAACGAGGCGCCGCGCATCTTGCGCGCGCCGCTCGTCGCGAATTTGCGCAGGACGAACGCGACGGCGGCGGCGGCGGAGGAGAAACGGCCGCCGGCCGGGCCGGCGTCGAGGACGGCGTCGCCGGGATTGGTGGTGGCGGCGACGGTCATCACGGCGGCCAATAAGAAGAAGCAACAGCAACAGTACGGGAAGAGCCATCCGTTGGCGAAGCTGAACGTGCCGCCCGGTCGGAATAGTCCCGTTTACAATACCATGTAGACGGTATTTTGTATGCTCGAATTAAAACGGTAAAAGGGCTGTGACACACCGCGTCTTTATTATTATTATTAATTATTATTTTTTTTTTTTCGTTTTCGTAAATCTGATTGTTGGTTCTACTTCTCCTTCTTTGGCTGGTAAAAAAAGAAACGTTTTAATGGAGGAAAAGTCGCGCGAGAACGCCAATTTGTCCGGACCTGTTTTCTCGACAGAAAAATCGACTGTGAGTTCGGGGCAAATGGTTTTTATTTAATTAGATAATTGAATTTAGTTGATTTGATTTTATACTGTACTTCGAAAATACAAAACTCATTTTGCTCTACGGATTGCTCATTTCGATCGAAATTTTCTTTACCGCGCACCGATCGATTTGTTTGTATCGCAAATTTTCTTATTTCGTGCAAAAAACGGCTCAATATAGAAGAGAAAAAAATGAAATTTTTTATGGATAAGTAACAAAACTCTTTAACTACCGAATATTTCAAATTGTAATATAAACAAATTGATGCTGTACGTTTGAGCTATAACTCGTGTTTGGTCCATGCTCAATTTACAACTAAATTTTAACTATAAAATAATAATTGCTTCAAAGAATTTATAACGATCTACCTTAACACCATTTTTTTAAATGACTAATTTCGAGTCGTGCTCCGCGGACCAAACAAGACAATTATAGCGTTTCGTCGATAATTAAAATGATGCACGTTGTAAATACTCGATGAAAAAAATCGTAAAATTATAATAAAATATAGCGCGAAATATGAATAAATAAAATAAACGTCGCTTTTTGTACATATACACGCCGATGTATTTTTCGATATTGTTGAATTTGTAAATTTGTTATTGGTAACTCAAAACTAAAACGGAACACAAAACCGATCTACTGCCAAATTACGACCTGCGGACCATCATCAGGAACAGAAACGAGCGTAAAAAGAAATTCGTTTGCGCCGGCCTCGATCAAAAACGATCTTTTGCGGTGGTTTTTGTTGGCAAAAGACAAGCATGTTAGGTAGCTAAGCGTAGTACAAATTCAAAAATCAAAATATAAATGATATATTGTTAAGAAATGTCGATGAACTATTTACTGGGTCAGTTTTTTCCTATTGCAGCCGATACGTTCGAATACTAATCAAGGAAACTGCTCGAATTGATTTTTTTTTTGAAGTGCTGTACAAATTTTGTGGCTTTACATCACAGTTCGATTTTAACTTCCCTGCGTACACGTTAATTATGACATTTATTTTTTTCGAACCAACCACGAGATTTATTTGGGTTAAACATTGTATATTTATAAACGTTTTTTAGAACACGATTATGTTATGTTAACATGCCGTTCTCATAGCTTTTGTGTGTATTTGTGTGATAGATTTTTTTTGTACATTAGTTGTAATATACATGTATCGCTTGAAATGTTTCTAAACGTGAAAAAAAAAAGAAAATATTAAAGCGATTATTTAATATAACCGGCGTTTTATTCGGACCATATCGATCAAAAGTACGCAACACAGACAACATTTTTATTGAAACGAAACAGTTTGGAAATTTAGCGTCAAAATTATTACTCGATGAACGCGATTTTAATTGGTTCGGGTTCAGCAAAAATCCATTTGATACAGTTTTTTACCGGACAAAAAGATGAATTTCGGCAAAACCGTTATGTCGCTTTTCATTCGTATCTGAACGTCTTCCGTATGCTCTTTTTCTCTAGTGTATTTTTGCTTCTTTCCCGGGCCGACATCGATGCAAAAAACGCCATTGCTCAACGAAGTTATTAAACCAACGTTCTGGAAAATTTTAACAACTAAGGCCCCGGCCTACTTTATAATCACAATTAAAAACAACCGATAAAAGAAATAATTAATTACAAGATAATCCTAGGTACATTTTCACATATCGTACTCTGTAAAATTGAAAGCAACTAGAAAAGTAAATAGTTTGCAGTAATATGAGCTGTAAATTAAAAAATCTAAATCTACATACCAATTAAAAACGGCCACATTATTTAATATTTTACACTAAATAAATTAAACATTCAAAATGTTTAATCTGTCAATGTCATGTCAAAAGTATATAGTTCCGACAACCATAGAACAAAATAGTTACTAAAAAAATATTCGTATAGGCAACACAGAACACCTTTACCTTTCAAGTGGGTTGCCGGTTTGACACAAAAAAGTAAGGTTATAATTTTGAAATAAAAAAAAATATTTATAAAATAACGAATTTATTTAAACTCGCATTTAAAGACTTGTACAGTAAACATGTCGAAAAAAGGCGTCAGTGCGGAAGAAAAGCGAACGAGACTGCTGCAATTATTTTACGAAAAAGGAGAATGTTTCCAACTGAAAGAACTGGAGAAAATAGCGCCCAAGGAAAAAGGAATTGTAGCCGGATCGGTTAAAGAAGTACTACAAAATCTAGTCGAAAACGGTTTAGTCGATACCGACAAAATCGGTACCTCCATTTATTATTGGGCCTTTCCCAGCAAAGCTTTCACTTTGAGGAAAAACCAAATGCAAAAACTCAAACAAAACACCGAAGAAACCATCAACAAACTAAAAGCTATGGAGGATGCATTACAAGGTAAATTTCTCACAGTATAAGATCCCAAAATTTGGCTGAATAACCCCTACTTTCCGTAGCCGTAAAAAACACCAACGACGATAACTCTTACGCAAACATCCTAGAAGAATTAAACGATAAAGAAATGGAATTATCCGCGTTGAAAAACCAATTGAAGCACTACGAAGAAAACGATCCCGTTAAATTCAAGGAGATGCTCGATAAAACCGAAGAACTCAAGAACGCCGCAAACCGATGGACAGACAACGTGTTCGCCGTAAAATCCTGGTGCAAAAAGAAATTTCTCATGGAAGATGCCGTTCTGAACAAACAATTCGGAATATCCGACGAATTCGATTACGTAGATTAAACTTTAATTTAATTACTAAAAAAACTTACCGCTGTACTTTGAAGATCGATTATACGAACCAAGTTCGGCGAAGATCCGCCCGTAACAATGAAATCCTTAGATAAATACTTGCCACAGTACAACTATGTAAATAAAACATTGGTTACTATAATCGAGGTTGATTCGTTTCGTTGAAATTACCTTACTAGGAAAAATGTCCGGTTCTAATCGAGCCACTCTCCTCAAGCTCCCGTAGTCGAACAGTTGCAATGCATCGGACGTTTGATGGCTGCACACCAATATCTGAAACGACAAGCACGTAACAAACGAATTGACTGCATACTTACGAAGCAAGAGGCCACAAAACGAACTTCGTGTCCTTTGGGATGTATGTCGATTCCTTCGCCGCATATGTGGCACCCCGCGATATGCCTAATCCCATACGGTTGCCTCAGATCCCAAAATTGTATCGTATCGTCCCATCCTCCCGTTAGCAATTCGTAATTGTTCTTCGGATGCCACACGGCTGCGAACACTCTCGACGTAGGCCCGTCTTGCCGATCGGGGTAACTACTGCCCTGTAGTATTCGTTCTTGCGTTCGGGTTTCTTCGTCGTACAGGTGGATTTTCAAATCGTCTCCGTAGGTAACGAACTTCGGGAACCTCGGGTGGTATCTGATACCGTACGTTTGACGTTTCTCTCTGATCGTGTAAATGCATTGGCTGGATAGGAAGTTCCAGCATTTCACGCAACCGTTTGCATCTGTAAACGCTTCTATTAAACATCATTTGATATTAGTGTAGATCGTTTACACGTAGCGGTGAAGCAATTCGTGACGGGATACAATTTCGATATGCTCCTGTGTTCTATGCTAGTGACAGGCGTCTCGTCTCTCACTTCTTTATCGGAGAGAGTGAACGCGGGCTCTCCAGTGGCGTACTTGAACACTCTGACAGTGCCGTCCGTGCAACCGCCCGCTATGTAGTCGAATTCCTCGCTGTATTTAGTGCACATCATCTCCTTCTGGCACTGTCTAAACGAGCGTTCGGGCGTTAGTTTTGTTGAATGGTTCCTTACGTGGCAAGCTCACATCGACATGTGGATTTTCACGTTGCCTTCGATGTTGATTTGGTCTTTGAATTTTTTCAACTTGCTCAGCTGGTTCTCGTACTCCTCTTCGCTGACTTCGAGGTTCGCGAGACCCTGTGTAGTTAACTTATTTAGTAAATTAGATATTGCAAGAGTTTATGTTGAGAAATTTACCGCCACTAAATTCGGTGTTTCGGCTTTTGCCATGTTGAATTGCCCTGAAAGTATTCCTGCAAAAAAAAGTATATATTTGTAACCGTTTGTTTCTTTATCAATACAGCATTGGAGCCTTACGCAATAAATTATTCCTACGAAAATTTTAGTTATCTAAAACTTGTTTATACGTGAAATTTTCATAACAAAATTTAAATCAAAATTCAAACAATTTTAGAAAAAATTTAAGTCAAATGTCATTTATGTCAATGTCAAACTTGATGTCAAACTTGATGGGAAACCGAACAACCGAATTAGTGATGGCCGAAATAAAGAAGAAAGAAATTGACGTTTATTATTATTGTTTATTGTTTCTTTGGATACAAATATGTCATTTCGAACAAAAGAATAGTTGAAGTACTTTATAACCTTTAACTTCTTAATAGTAAATTAATTTTTAGATATTCGCACTACAACCAAAATTACAAATTTCGCCGATATTCGAAAAGCACCATTTAAAATTCCCGCCGAGCATAGTAAATAATTGCCAACATGCAAACATGAAATTCAAGTTTTCAAGGTTAAAAAGAATCATATTTTGTTGAAGCAAGCGAATTTTTCGGTAAGTTTATGTGACAGGAAGTGCGGAAAATACTAATTAAAAACGTTCTTTTTATCGTTAAAATCGTTAATTTTATTTAAAAGTCAAAAATCACGTCACAGCGAATTCCGAAGGTTCACTTGGGCATGGTATGTAGATGTTTATAACACAATCGAAAGTGCACGAAATTTGATGCAATTTTGTTATTTATTCGCTTATAAACATTGCTATTCTAACAAATACTACGAAATCTATCCAATAACTATAACATAATACGCGAATACATAACACATAGCTAAACAAAGGACCTTAGATTGATTCCATGCTTATCACACGAATACCTATTACACATTAATTTAATCCCTACGTTTCCACATAGATTTCAACTGATTAAGGAATATGCGACGAGCCAAACCGCAGCAACCGATTTACAGACCAGGTAGTGGCCCGTTGAAAAAATCCAACGCAAACGAAGAGTCCGAATTCGATTCCACAGTACTGAAACACAAAGATCTATCGAACACCGATTTCGACAATACAAAGACCAAAAGCGAAGGCAACTCGCCCAGACATTCAGACAGAACATCCAAATCGGGAGACTATTCTCCCAATGACGATGTGAATAAACGTCCCAGAAAACCCGACCAGGTAATCGTCAACTCCCACCTAATTAATACTCGACGATTTATTTGTTTATCTTAATAGATAATATACGTGCCTAGACCAATTGCTCAAGCTAGAGATAGAGAATCATATCCGTCGCAAGACATGAACAGGAACACATTTGCTCACATTAATGGTAACGAGAAACCCCCTTCGGAGCCGGTCGATCGAATCGTTGGCAAAAGAACTCCTTATGCTGAACGAAACATGGACAAAAACGAACAAGGCAACGATTGGCGAGAAGAAGCGGCCCGACAGAAACAGATACCCGAAATTAGAGGTAAGAATTGTATAATTTCGTTAAACATTAACAAAAAAAAATCAAGGTCAACGAAACGGCTGTTTATGTTTCTATTTACCGTATCGCTATCGAATTGATAACTGCTTTTTTAAACTTTGCAGCCTTTGTCGTTTATCGTTATGTAATTTAGATACGTTATTTCTGAGAATAGATATCGATATAGCTTAGGAGCACGGTCCTATATTTCTAAGGTCTGGCATCTCCCTATGCTTATGCATTAGAGAATGTGTCCCGTTATTTGAGGACTTTTTAAGCTTCACTTTTTCGCCGCACCGTGGCGAACGATCGCAGGACCAACTTATCTCAGCCAATCAGCGTCGAGCTACATATAAATCGCGGTTGTGTGACGACAGTTCAAGCTGTCAAAACTTGAAAATATATTTTTTGACATTTCGAGAAGAAAATGGAGGTATACAATAACCGAAGATACGGGCATGATGTTTACAACAAAATCATTGCTGATTTAAGTATATTTTTATATTTTGTATCTATTTTTAGTTTGAATATAACCTTTCATAATTCGTAGGCGAAAAACCGGGGTCCTTTACAACATCGCCTTCTAGCGGCCGTTTTAGGAACCCTGTTTCATCCTCAACTAACGGGACACTTTTTCGACCCATGATTCCAGACCTTAGAAATATATAGGACCGTGCTTACTTGTTAATTAGACATAAATAAGTTATGTTTTTTCGTCGACAGGTGGCAGCGCCGGCCCGCAGACGAATTGGACCCGACAGCAGCGCGACAATCGCGGCGAAAAGGTGCAAGCGAAGCCGCCGAGCGGCCGCCGACACAGCACGGTGGGCGCCGAACAGGAGAAACGTTTCAACAACCTGCCGCCGAGGTTCCAGAAGAAGTTCCTCGAAGACAACAAGTTCCAGCACTCGCCCGTCGAGGACAACAACTGGGACGGCAGCAGCCTGACGTTCCAGAAGAACCAGAACCAGAACCACAACCATCCGACGGGCGGTTACTATACGTTGCCGTACGCGGCCGGTTCGCACCATCAGCACCAACCGAACGTACGTTTATCGCCCACAAATCAACTCATTTACAAATTTATTTATTTATTTATAGGCTAATTACATATCTAATACGCTGCCGAGCAAACCGCGCGGTAGAGGCAGATTGTACAGCGATCAGGAAACGTCCCGACCCGGTGGAGCTTTCGAATCCCTGCCCGATAAGCTGAAAAGTCCAGGCAACTCGCGCCCGCCCACTCCGCCCAGTCGACCGCAAACTCCGACTAATTCCGATAACAGAAGATCGACGAGGCCTCAGGATAAACGGGACAACAGCCAGAGGGAATTTAGGAATAGAAGGTGTGTGTTTGTGGCACTACTCCAGTATCATATTAATATGATAACTTGCAGGGATAACAAGAACTACAATAGAGATAACTTTAATAACAGGGACAATTACAACGCCAGAGACCATTACAGAGATCAACGATGGGAGGACGATTACAGGGATTCCTATTACAAGGACCGGAACAATTTCAAACGGAACGATTACAACAAAGAGAGCGGTGACGGTAACAGGCGCGAGAGAGACCAACGCAGAGGCGGCGCCAATCAGAGTCGAGACAAGAGGAGAAACGGCAGGAGGGACAGGAGAAGTCGCAGCAAAGAAACCAACAGAGACGCCAGACCTTATCACGTAATTATTTATTTCGCTCGATTGTGTGTATCGAACGCTACGATTTGTCGTTTTTCCAGAGTTCTATCAGCACGGACGTTAGCGTCGAGGAGAACTGGAATTTAGAGGAACCCAAAAAAGACGTTGTCAGTAGGATGCCGGAACCGGTTCGTGATCGACCGGAATCGAGCACCAGCCCGGACGATTACAAAACGCTCATTCCGAATCTAATCAACAACACTTTGGTAAGTAGATTGTGGTAAGGAGAAGGGCTATTGGTTACCTTTTCCGGTCCATCTGTAGGATTGGAGCGAAGAAGTGGAATTGAACGATCGATTAGAATCGGAGTACAACAGCGACGCGCTGACGAGGAGTTCATCGATCGTCAGTTTGCAGGAACCCGCCATGAAATCCTTACCGCCTAATATCAACGAAACGAACACGTCGAAGAAAAAGAGGTACGTTTAAAATAGCTCAACAGGGAATTCACCTACTGTATTATTCCTACTGTTGCAGGCGAAACCGTCAAAGGAGCAGAAACAGGTAATCGATTACTTCTCATCTTTAAACGAGTACTTAAAATGGATGGTTATTTTAGGAGCAATTCTCGGACGAGGAGCGATCGCACCCGGCAAAATTCGACTACGAGCATCGACAGTCGCGACGGGGCGTTCAGGATGCCGCGAGACGGTTGCTCGGGCGCGTCGAGAAGGAGTTCAAGGGATCGAAGAGACAGCAGTTACGATCGATATCACAACAGCTCGAGGAACGTCAGCAGGGACAGTAGCTGGGATCGGTATCAAGTAAGAGGCCAGCCGTCAGGAACTGACAATTGGAGGTTCGTTTCCACGTAATTCACACCTGTTCAATAGATTTATTGGAGTATTTTTTTTTAATAGGGAGGAAATCGAAAGAACTAGAAAAAATTCGGATAAAGACAGCAAAGTAATTTTAGACGTAGATCCGAGCAACAAAAAACCGGGAGTTTTGGTATTACCGCAGCAAAAGAACGAAACTAAAGCTATACCGAGTTTGAGTACGCGAGACCAACCCCGGTAAGCCCTAATATTACAATTTTATTCGAATAAAAAACTAATCGATATTATGTGACCAGTTATCCGGATACCCGCCGAGCAACGGGCCAGCAACACAAGAGCCTCTTCGATCCCAACAACCCGTCCAAGCCGATCATAGTCAAATCGACGAGTTCGCGCGTCAACGTGCCGGGCGCCGCGGACGCCGCCGATTCGGCCCAACAGCCACCGATCGAATCGTTCGGCCCGCCTTGGTACGACGACACCGCCGAATCGTTCAAGTCCTGCCACTATCCGGAGTTGTTGCGCGACGTGCGCAAGGCCGACGACGAGCTGCGCGGCCTCGTCGACGGCGGCTGGCTGTTGGCGCGCTGGGACGCCGTCGAGACGCTGCGCGGCTTCCTCAAAGAGGCGCTGGAGTACCTGCTGTGCAAGGCCATGAAGTTCTGCCAGAAGGAGAACGTCGAACAGCACTTTTGGAACGTGCTCTACCACAACATCATCGAGGTCGCCCGCAGCGCCATCAAGAGCGATCCCGGCAACAAGGAGAAGTACAAAGGTTTGTGTTCGTGTTGTTCGTAAACGTTTCGTGTAATTTTTTTTTATTGTTGTAGGGTTTTTGTTGTGTTTGATCGATGAAGGTAGTAAATATTACGAGAGGCTGTTGACTGTGTTAGAAGAAACTTACGATTTCAAATTGAACAATTTTATGAAGGAGAATCCCGGTGGTACGAAAGGTTTGGGGATGGTCGGTTTGGCTTTGGTGTGTGCCCAGAAGTTGTTTTTGTTTTTGGGCGATTTGGGGAGATATAGGGAGGAGGTGAACGAAACGGCGAATTACGGGAAATGTAGACAGTACGTTAATCAATCAATTAGTATTAATTATTGCTAATTAGGCGTGTTGTTTTAGATGGTACATCAAATCGCAGGATATCAACCCGAAGAACGGCAAGCCGTACAATCAATTGGCTATATTGGCCTATTACGCGGTAGGACAGTGGATATTTCTCCTAAATCATCTTATGTTTTATGTTATTTTTTGCTTTACAGAGAAGGAAATTAGACGCTGTTTATTATTACATGAGAAGTTTAATGTCTTCGAATCCGGTCCCATCGGCCAAGCAGAACTTAGTGTCACTTTTCTACGAAAACAAAAAGAAGGTAAATAAACAATAAATTAAAAATTCTAAATCGTTTTCCATCGTAAATCGTTTATCTACAATAACGTACAATATATTTTTTTCCACGCTGCTTGTCCGCAGTACCACCAAGTTTACGTACGTATGAAACCGTTCGCAACGAAAACCATCCCTAATCCATCGGTAAATTTAATTGTGAATTAATCGGAAATTATCTTTCAGTACGATCAAGGGGAAAAGAAGCGCCGAGAGGAGAGGCTGGAGCGGCAGCGGCAGCAGATGAAGCAAAAAGAATCCGAAGACTCCAATCACGCCCCGGGGCAATTGCGAAGGGAAACCTGGATACATCCAGAAGGCGGCAGGAGAGTGTACAGGACGACGCAGGCGAATCTGGACGCTGCAGAAGAAGATTTATCGTCGTTAAGTAGCGTAGAGGTAAAACTACTAATACATTTTCCTACCCATCAATTCGACTTGTAATCGATTAAAATTGTTTTTTTAGGTGAACAAACGGTTCGTTATCAGTTATTTGCATGTGCTCGGGAAGCTCATAACTAAAATCGGGTAGGTTTGGGATTAGTACCGGACTCGTTTCGAAAACGGTTCTTTACCTCTAATCACACAGAAAATCGCCGAGTTAATTTACAAACGTGTTTCTCGTGCGTGTTGCAGGATGGAGAGTTTCCAAGAGGCCGCCATGCAAATGTTGAAGGAATTCCGCGCGCTCCTGCAACATTCGCCCGTGCCGATTCCCTGCAATCGATTGCTGCAATTGCTCGCGCTCAATATGTACGCCATCGATACCACGCAGCTCAAAGGTAAGGTTTTATTTAATTGCTTTTTTTTTGAGCGGGGAATAGTGCGTTTTAGCCTAAGCTGTCGTATACATGGTAGATAATGTCTGGTCGGATGACATTCGGTGCAGTTTATACGCGTGAAAGTCCATAATAACTGTACATTTCGACCGTAAATTCACCGCAATTGTTGTCCCCGAGGAGCGTGTCCATTGAAGAATGTTCGCCATGATATATGCGAGTATGCGTTTCATCTATAATGCGATTGCGGTTTGGGTTATTCCTCGCTAATGCTGTTGCAGGAAAAAAAATTTGCTTTATTCGCATCGCAATGTTTAGAAACTCGCCTTCTTCGTTAGAAAACGGTCGTTTTCAAGTCGTTCGATCGTAGCGAAACAGTCATTTGAACCGATTTGAAAATCGGTAATACAATGGATATTAATCACAATGTGGCAACGTCGCAACAGGGCTGCTCGTGACGTCATTGTCTTTTAAGAACGGATAGACTTTTTTTTTATTCCTGCAATAATTATAAAGTTACCGAGTCCTGCGAAGGAAACGCGTAATTATTTCGACTGCGATCGCTCGTCGAAGACGAATTAATCTACTTAACCGCACGACAAGTCACGTGTAGATAAATAATATTATTAATAATATGCCTATTCGGCTTCGGCGTCGATTGCGCGCGCACGCGTCAAGCATTACATGTCATTACACTGTCATTACACTGTCATTAGTGTCAATATTTATTGCAAATTGTCAGTTCGGTGTCAGTCAATGACAGCTTCATGAGGTATTTGCACGGTCGCATATAACAGGTCAGGAAACTTTACTGGTACCCACAAAACGTCACTTTTCCTTCATTCCGCCATTTTGCCTTCCTAATTTAATTTAAAATTTTAATTTAATTTGACGACAATGCCATATTCAACAGAAGCTATAATTACCCCTAAATTAACTACCCGACACTGGCGTTCCCAGCGGATTTCTCATGAACCCTCGATCCAGAGCGTCAGAGTTTCCAGGCCTGTATGTAAGACCGTGCCCTTGGCATAACATTGACATATGACGTGTCATTGACATATGACATAGTTTGCTCTGCGACAAAATCTCGCAGTTTGTAGAAACAAAAACGGTAATTGTGCATGAACGGAACGTTCGGGGCGGGGCGCATGGGGGGCCCCCCGAACGAAAAGATCGAATCTCCCGGCCTTGTAACCTTGGCAAGGTTGTGGCGGATGAGTTGAATAACATTTCTGGGCGATGCGAAGAGGCGCTTTCGTCCGAATTAAAGCGAAAATAAACGTTAATAAACCGTTCTTCGTTTAGATCGAAACGAAACGAAAAAAAAAATACCGCAGCCCGAGAAAAACTCGCAAAACTACGACGAAAACTAGAAAGAAAAAAACGAAGAAATAACCGGTTGTTTATAGTTTAAAATCGGAAAATGGCGCTTCCGCGTAATAAAATGTTGGAAGAACTGATGGATCCGCGTTGGGTACCGTTAAAATTTATTAAAATAAAAGTCCGCCTTTACAACGAACTTTCCTGCACAGTATATCTTCGTAGAGACAGGACTGTGCCGAGGAGGACGCTAATAGGACTGTAATTTCGTTAGGAAAGTTAATTTTTCACGCTACTTGAAATAAATCTCCGCTCCCATACAATATTATCCCGATGGTTATTTTTAGTTAACGTTCAAACAGTGTCTTCCTGAGATAATTTTTTTAACGAATAACCGGCAGTTATTTATGTATTTATAAAATAATGTTTTGCAAGATTATTTTTTTTCACAAAGCTCAAACGCCGCGTTTGTTATAATTAAAGGGCCCTTTCGAATGCGAAATAAATCGATTTCTCGATTCCATTTAAATTAACGATTCGTTTAATAGGAAGAAATTAAACGGCGTAATAATAGTAAAACGGGAATAAACCAGCGACATTTTACTGCGAACTAAACGAACCGTTCGCTCGTTTTACGTACGACGTTTTTGATTATAAAGAAAAATAAAACAACGAATCGTACATCGATAAAAAAAAAACCCGCGTTATTTTTCCAACGTAATAATATAATCGACGGTGTATCGGTATCGAAGAAGATCGATTAACTCTGATCTATGGACGACTCAATTATCGATGGGCGTTTCGAATTAAATTCCAATTGATTAATACGACGCCGGCGTCACCGAGCTCATCCATATTTTATGACTTCCATAGGAGATTTTAATAAAAATCGCGATGGAAAAAGGCGTCGACGTGCACCAGAAGACTGGTTTTTTCCTTCCCGTTGTAAATCGAGCATCATAAAATCGAATAGGAGTATAATACGTTTGCTATTTTATGCGAGAATGCTGAATTTACGGAATTCACAGCAAAATTATTTATGTACATGTTCTTTTTCGATAAAACAATTAGAGAATTTTCCATGTAATCTGCTCTAGTCTCTGCTCTGGTCTCTGTTCTCTGCTCTTCATTCTCTACTTTCTGCAATGCTCTCTGTTCTCTGCTCTCTGCAATGCTCTCTGTTCTCTACTCTGTGGTCTGATCTCTGGTCTTTGCTCTCTGGTCTCTACTCTCTGGTCTGGTCTCTTCTCTCTGGTCTGGTCTTTTCTCTCAAATCTAGTCTCTTCTCTCTGGTCTGGTCTCTGGTCTCTGGTCTCTGCTCTCTACTCTCCACTATCTGGTATCTGGTCTCTGGTCTGGTCTCTGGTCTCTGGTCTCTGCTCTCCACTCTCTGGTCTCTGCTCTGGCCTCTGCTCCTTGCTTTGCTCTCTATTCTGCCATCTGCTTAGCTCTCTGCTCTGCAAAAATCGTGGATCAATCGGCGTCGCTCGCGGCTCAACATTTTAATTTCGACCCTTCGAAACCGGCCGTTGAATTCCGACAAATCGCCGTTCTCGTCGGATTTTCTCTAACGTTTTACGAGCGCCTCGCATTCCCTTCGGTCGAGAAGAATCGAACGACCGGAATGCCAATCGGCGGTGGATCCGTCTCAGCTTTTATACGACATGTTAGATGTAAATATGTTAGATGTAAATAGCGAAAAACGTATATAAGCAAATTGGAGCCGACAATGCGAATGCATCAAGGCGGAACATGCCGCTCCGGCGACGTTACCATAAATCAGGACGGGTCGCGACGTCTTCCGTCGTTCCGTACGCGGGATATACTCCATGAAAAAATCGATTTTAGAAATTTTTAGAAACCCGGTGCAACGTTCATCAGTTCCGAATACTTCTCCCCCGTATCGCTGGATCCTTTTAACAATGCAAGATTTTTTCTTTTTCAAGACTAATTACGGTCGTGCGAAACGCAAACGCTGCCGATAGACCGTTTCCAAACATTCCGCGTAAAATTTTTTATTCTTTCCGTCCATCATCATCTTTTCTTATACGCGACTCTTCCTCTCTCCCGCAGGAGAGTTCACTAGCCCCTTCCGAAAAGTCAACGCGCCGACGATTGCCTCGTATTTATTTTGAAACCGTCGAGGATTTACATAGAGAACGTTCGTTCTACGACCAATTGTGGATTTCGAAAAGTTTTTTTTTTTTTTTTTCACTTAACCACCTTCGAGTCTTTATAGAGGATGTTCCTCGGTTAATTTCTCGTTTCTGTTTAAAACGTTCTAATTCGTAATCGTATCGATTATACGTTTTGATTTAAAAGTAACAAGTAATTAACGGTTTTTATTAGTTTAAATTTGTTCAAAAGTAAGAGTTATGAATAGTTTAATAAGTATTAAAGTGTGTAGAATACAATGGACATCCCTGTATAAGGATTGTCATACACTGTTGCTTGAATTTCACCGCGAATCTGCGGTTTGAAATATGCCTTGCTACACACACACACACGCAAGAAGAAAAAGACCAAGAAGAAACTCGAGGGCTTGAAGTGCACATACGAAAACATCCATCGCGCAGTTTTCGCTTATGGAGTATTTTTAGAGACGGTTTTCCACCGTCGATCGGGCGGCAGGAAAACTCGACAGCGCGTACAAACCAAAAAAAAAACCACGAACAACGAGAGCGCGGCCGAAGGAACGGCCTCGTAAAAGCCGCGCACCGGCCAACGATCGGCCTTGAAACGGCCTTGCGAAAGGTCAAGCGGGGACAGCCCGTCCCGAAGGGGGGAGGGCCCCCCCCGGGGGCTGGTGCCATTACAGGGCGAACGTGATCGGGGTTAGAAACATCTCTCCGAAGTCCTGCTACTGCTGCGATTGGAATGAGCTAGAGTATGTTGTAATGGGGCAAGTGCAGAATGGGTTTGGAGTTAGGGCGAGCAAAAGGAGCTGTAACATGAGAGATTTGAGAAATGATAATGCAGGGTTAGTTGAGTAATGTCGAGAGAGGGTAAGTGGAATAGAAAGTGTTTAGGAAAAAAAAAGGATGATGGAGTAAGAACGCTGGAACCAGTACAAGATGAGTAATTCAAGCAAAAGGACAGTGGAGTAAAGATATAGGATGATTATAGAAGTATTAGAGAATCGCCCTGTATGTAGCGACAAATGCACAAGTGCCTACCTATGTGTATCATCTGTTCTTCTTTTTTTTTTTCGGTTAAGGACTTCGTTTTCGTTTTATTTACGATGCGCTCCGGTGACTAAGAACCCATTTGCCAACATCTCGTTTTTTTTTTGCTTCTTCTTCCTCCCAACCTTTGCCGTACGTGTAAAATTAAATCGCCGAAGAAAAATCGCGATTCTTGCGACTTGTTGTATTCTGTGCGAATACGGTAGGTTTTCTATCGTTTCTATCGAGCTCGATTGTGCTTAAATTCAATTTAATTACGAAGCGAACGCGGCCGGGGAACGCTTTTCAATCACGCCAGGGCGGAACGGTGGTTATTACAATAATTTATTCGACGCACGGTCCTGCGGATCCTGACGTTTTGCTTGCGTTATTTTCGCCTTTAGTGGACACGTATCTCTTCGGTCACGAGAACCCATCAAACCGGCGCGGCATATCATGCAAATTTCTCCCTTATAAATTATACCATGTTACAAATTAGTATCATAAACGGTGCGGATGGTTTTTGTTTTTTTTTTATTTATTTTCGTTTCGAAGTCGTGGATTTTGAAAATATTTTCAATTACGTGTACACACAGCGGTGGCTGTTAGATTGTTCTTGTTTTTTTTCTGTATCGGTGAATCGGAGTCGTTGGAATTAAATCCTCGTTTCCTCTAACGACTGCGAAGTCATGTTTTACCGATTCGACGCGGAATATTATTATAACGATTCGTGTTGGATTAGAAGCGAAAATAAAAAAAAAAACCCGAGCACTTCCATGCACAATGAACCGTAATGTTTCGCCCGAGGGTTCGTAAACACACGAAAAACACATCGAAAACGATACGAAAATAAGCGCTCGAATGTTCGACTAATAATAATCATTACTGTTGCCTTAATTCTTTCTAAAAGAGAAGAGTTTGAATCGTTCCTTGATCGTTAATATTTCTTTTATATTGTCAATTGTGTTCTATACCAATCCAAAGAAGTAGGAATGTACAAGGGATGATCTGATTTTGTGATCTTTAATAGATTAGATTAGATCTTCCGCGTAACGCGAAATCACTTGCTCGTGAACAGGTTTTTTTTTTGTTTCTTTTCAAAATCCATCCCTCGAACGGGAGGCGGGCGAGAGGCTTCGACACCGTACAATTTAATCTCGACTTATCGGAGAATATTACTTTCCCATCGACCGCTTACTCCCGATTACATTGGTCCCGTTTCCGTGCAAATTACGGGTTGCGCGTACTCTCATTTTCGAGACATAAATAACACGCCGAACCTTCGCGGGTTTTTCGCTGCAGAAAAATCGACCGCAAAAAAAAAAAGGAAAAGTCGTTCGGAAATCGACGCGAGTCCTGGGAAAGGCCGCGCGATGGAATTTCGTCCGCTGCACAAGGGATTAAATAGTTTGTTGACGAACGTATTAACAATACGCTTCGCTTGCAATTACAAATATGTGCGATTTTACGAAGCCTGCTCTCGTATATCGAACGAGGCTAATGAAGTACGTGGAAAGAGCCGGGCTCAGGTTCGCTGGCGCCATCGATGCTTCTACGGTGATAATATTTACGAGGTTCGCGATTGCACCGGCATGTCAATGTTGCCAATTGAATATCGACAATTTTTTTTTATTACCATTACAATCGCACGTTTACCAGTACCACTTAGACTCCCCTTTCGTTCCATCGGGATCTTCCCCATCTCTATCATTAATTTCCTACTTATGGTGTATCATAATTAATTGTGTAGCTGGATTTATATACATCGGCAACGCCGTGGATTCCGCGGATCCGCTCTCCTCGTCCGCGAGAAAGATCCCTAATGATATATTGATTGCATAGCATCGGTGTCACGGCTCGGTGCGTAAACGCACGTGTAACGGCCTATTAGACACTCCGAAAAATCCCATACTATTCGGGTTAACGGCCACAAATTCGTATGCCGAAGGAATCGACGCGGTTCTAGTGGACTTTTGCGCTGGTATTCGATCGGAGGTCGAGCCGAAATAGCGGCGGCACGTTAGAGCAATAATTAGAGACGATTTTTACAGGTTTTTATATAGTTTTTCAACCGGCTCGCGCATTTTTCCGAGCGACCGAGCGTAAAATCCTCCGGGCTATGTAATCAATTCATCATTACGAGTTATTAGCGATGAGAAAAAAAATAACTACGAAGATTAGAGCACTTTAAAAGCCTTTCGGGAAATAAATATTTACCATTCCGGCGTAATTTAGATACCTGTATACGACGTTTCGAATCCGTTTTGTTGCAGATCCGGCGATGCTTCCGGAGAAAGGGTACCGCTCCGAGTTGCAGGAGCGCGCCCTCGTCGTCTCCCTGCAGATGTTCGATCTGATCCTGGAGCGGTGCGTGGCCGCGTTGCAGGAGCACGCGGCGACGCGTCGCGACGCCGTCGGGCCGGCGTCGTTGCCGTCGGACGCCAACGTCCTGCTGCCGGCCGTGAAGATCTGGTGCGATTGGCTGTTGTGCCACACGAGCGTCTGGAATCCGCCGCCCTCCACGCAGGACTTCAAAGTCGGGTAAGGAATTTGCACGGTTGTGCGACGGCAGTAGCGGGGACGATAAATTTTCATTCATATTATAAGCGATTATTGATGGTTATTGTCGAACAAATTGCAGTCGATTGCGGAACATCCATCAAATCGTTTCGATTGATGGTGCTCGTGTTGGTATAGCAGGAAGCGGCAGGATTCGGGCGGGGAAAAATTGTTTTGAATGATGAGGATGGCGGGTCGAATGAATATGTTTGGTTTTATAACGAATGGAGAGGAGTACGACTTTTTTTTTAATTTTTTTTTTATAAAACTACGTATTCTTATGAAGTCATTGGTGAAATTTTTAATTTTCTCCGTTTCCTATTAACGCCACAATTAATTTTTCAAATTTGTAATACATCACACTTATCACATTAAGAATTGGTTGTAAAGATCGTTTTTAGCGACGTTGTCAAGTATCTTCTTGCTCTGAAAAAAAAAATCGTTTGTTTGTTATAATTTATTTTTTGTATTTCTTGATACAGTTATGATTTATTAAATATCTAAAATTCTAAATTATTGTTTATTAAAAATGGTAATGTGGCATTATCGAATGTATACTTTTGACTTTTTAAACATGTCACTTGTCAAATTAATGAAAACAAAAACTTAACCTCCAACTAAATCTACTTCTACAATTTTAAAATGTCGCATCCGAAGGTAATTAAAACTTGTTTCATGCCGTTTTGTGAAAATTCTTCATTGTATTCTAAAAAAAATGTTTATTTTTGACCCAAGAAAGTTAAAATAAAAAAATTACAACAACATAACTCTAAATATGTCATCTGTCATTTGATGTTACATTCCACTTTTGTTCGTTTCTTCTATTCTTCCGAACATTTCGTTCGAATTCTTATGCCGTATATCTCACATCGTACTCTTCTCCATTGTTTGTGTTGGATGTAAAATTTTTGGGTCTTTTTGTGAGTAGAAACATTTTAATTGCAGATCACCCGGCGATAGTTGGAGCAGATTGGCCGCCTTGATGAATTTGTTAGAGCGAATGGATCAAAGCCAAGCGGTTGGTTTCGTCAAAAACGCCCAAGAAGGTAAGCTGTTAATTACAAAAATTTACGACACGAGGAAATGTAAATCATCTACCACTTTTATCGGTTGAATTTTTTTTTTATTACATTACCGTTAGCTAGTCATAATTTTCGCCCGAATATTCAACGTCAAAATATTAGGCCCCGGTCTCTCTCTCTCTCTCTCTCTCGCGTATAAATTCGATCGCAATTAAACGAATCGAAAAGGGACAGATTGATATCGGGGTCCGGTAACCGGTAACGGTAAAGCATAATTCGTCGATCGGGCAATTACTCCGGAATGCTCGTTTTAACGACTCGAAATGTCGATTTCACGACGTTTGGGCAGCCACCAGCCACCGGATTCGGTTGTGATATAACCGGCGATTCAGGACGATTTAGAGCTACTCCTGCTGCGTTGATACGATACACGTTTGGACGCGAACTAATAATTAACGTTAATTGGCGTGTTAACTGTTAATTGGAGTGATTGGGAACCGGTTAATGAAGATGTTTGATTGTCGTGTTGGTTATTAGATAACTTTGTTTTATTAGTGCAAGTTTGTTATGTATAACTGCCGATTTCGCGAAGAGACTTTAACTTTAAATAAGGTTAAAGGACACTTTATCTTTAAGCTTCCTTATTCGAGAATTATAGAGGAAAATGACCGATTGTGGGATACTTTTTTCATTTCGAAAAATAACAAGAATTTTGGTATATTTAAATCACCAAATTACCATCTATTATCTCCCATTTTTAACTGTACATTTAACTAATTGTTTGAACAGTATTTTCGTAAAAAAATACGGGAACTCCATGGTTTTGTGCGTAACTCTTAACTGTCTTTATTGTTTTTTTTGTTTCGCATTCCCATGCTATTACAATACAAAAAATACCACTATCTAAAAAATACATTTATCACGCCAATTCCCATTGTCTCGACGAATGTTCTTTGTTGTAAATTAAATTATCAAAACATGATCGAGTAACAGTTTTTATTTTTTTAAAAGAAAACAGTCGTAAATTTTATAATGAGCCATTATACGAGCCTCGAAATTTCGGATTATTTACAATCAATATTTGCTGAAGTTTTCGAGGAATATCATTCGCGAAAAAAATATCTATAACCGATCATTAAAATGAACAAAAAAATGAATATAGGGTGAAACTAAATATTATTTTTCGTCATAACTTCTGTGTGAAATAATTTTTAGAGACGTTCCTTTTCTAAAACACTCTCTTCCTTGTGTACACGTCGTTTAGGAACACCCAGTATAATAAAAGGTTGACAGAAACACACGGCTTTTATTTGCGATTTCCGATGCTAATGAACCCATTATCGCTGTTTGCTATATCAATTAGCCGGTTCTCATTTACCTTATTAATTTTCGAATGTGGGAAACCGATTTTTTTCTTCTTCTTCTCCTTCCTCCATCTCCGATGGATTTGCATACATAATACATTGTATGCGGCCGTGTTTATTTACGTTTCGCACGTTAATGTATGAAATTTTCGATCGGCATTTTCTAGGTTAAACACACACAATCGATTCGATACGTTCGCGAATCCGTCTGCTCGGTTGTCTAGCCACACACACAAAAAAAAATCGAAAACCGCCTGTTTGTTAATCGATCATTAATTAACCGGTACAGCTATGCAAACGTCGGTTAAAAAATGTCCTTTATAACGAATTTGCCGAAGATATTAGCACTTAACAGATTTATATTTAACGCGTCCGAGCAAATATTTAAATACTTTATTTCGACTTGAAATTAAAGAAACGCTAGAGTTTGTAAAACCCCCTGTGTGTGCGACTGTCACTTTGACATAATCATATCCAGTGAAAATTGTTCAGTGTGTTCGTCTTGTTTGTTATACCATTTCGAAACATTCCGCAAATTCCCGATTAGATGACATCGAAAAAGCAACTGAGACTGACGAATCTACGCAACGAGGTCAGCCTGTACAAGGAGCTCTTGGACGAATTGAAGAAGAAGTACAGGAGGAACCGCAGGAATTACCTGCACCAGATCAGCTGCCTCAAAACCGAAGCTGACGATTACAAAAACCGATTGTTGAGCAAAGAAAGGGCGTTGCAAAACCTCCAAGATGATTATATTATACTGGAGATGAGGTACAAGCAATTGCTGAGAGACGGTTGGAGGAAACTAGGCAGTAATTTCGAAACGTAAACGAATTTTTCGCGTTATTTTCCGTCGATAATTGAGAGTATTTTCAATTTTAGCGTGAGAAATAAAGAGTGGATCGAAGACTTGGAAGCTTTGTAGTCGACTTGTACATTTCATGTTACCATTTACGCACATTATAAGTAACTTACAAGCTTACGTTCGTGTTTATTTTAGCGTAAAAAAAACTCTTCTTTTTTTTCGTACAACACCGCGACATTACCTGTCAAACAATTACAAAAAGCAATTGTCACAAAATTACCGTGCGAAAATGCAAGCTTCGGCGAAGAAACAGTCCGTGATCGAGCACATCAGGGACACGAAGCGCCGGCTCGATTGCGGCCCGAAGTCCACCGGCATCCAGAAGATGCAGAACAAGATCTTCGAGGAGCTGCTGCTCGAGAACAAGAAGGCCAGCATGCAGACGGAGCAGCGGTACGCGCAGCAGATCAGAGAGCTGAAGGGCAGGCTCGCCGCCGCCGAGGAGAAGCTCCGGCACAACGGTAGGGATCTGAGGGCGGAGATCGAGCGGCTCGAAGGGGTGCTGGGGGCGCTGCGCGAGGCCTACAACGAGCTGAAGGACAAGCACCAGTCGTTGTTGATCAAGACTTTTCATTCGTTGAAGATAGGTAAAGTTGTTGGTCGGTTTTTTTTATTTTTGGTGGATTTGTACGAAGAATCGTTTTCAGTGCACAGCTTGACTAACAGCATTAAAAAGGAGAAGCTCAGGATAAAGTTGGGAGAAAGTTTCGCCAAGGATTTGGATGTCGATCTGTCGAATTTCGAAGAATGTTTGAATCTTAGCAACATTTCCAATCAAAAGGATGACAAGGAATATATTAATAATTTTGATGATTACCCTATGATGAAAGACAGTTGAAATTAGTTACCTTGTGTCCCCCTTTCCACTAATTTACTCGAGATTGTAGCTAAAGAAATAAAAAAAAATTACCAATATTTCTAGCATTATTGATTAATTAATATGCAGCTTTAACAAACTTCATCATGACTGTACGAAAACGTCACAAAAATCTGTCATTTAATAATCAATCATGTTTTAAAACTCATCCTCGTAATTAACATCAAAATCGAACAAACAACCAAAATGCCTACGCACAAATTGATCAAAAGGAAACGCTCGTTGAAGAAACCCCCCAAGAGCAAAAAAGTGCCGCCCGTCTGGAAGAAACCATCCGACGACGAGGCATCGTTGAAGAAACCGGCGAAGCGGCCGAAGAAAGAGGCCGATCGCGCGCAGAGCAGCGTCGTGAACGTGACCAATCCGGAGCCGGTGGTGAATTTCGAACCGCAATTCAAGAAACCGCTGATGAACCAAGTGAAGCGGCTGAAGAACGTGGTGCAATTGTACAAGATACGCCTGTCGAATTCGAAGAAGGAGGAGCTGGAGAACAAACGGAAGTACTTGGACAAGATCAAGGAGCTGAAGGGTCGCGTCGAAGAGCAGAAGCAGCTGATGCTGATGAAGGAGAAGAAGTCCGGTTTGGACGTGAAGAAGATATCGAAGATACTGGAGAACGTCCAAAGCGAGTTTATGGATCTGCAGATGAAACATCAGGCGCTTATCAGGCGATCGTACGATTCGCTACTGCAAAGTATTAGTAGCCAGATTGTGTTTTAAGAATTGTTGTTTTTTTTTTTTCGTAATTTTTAGTTCACAATTTTATGAAGAATTTCGACGAAAAAGCGACGAAATTGACGAACAAACCGGCCAAAACTTCCAAAGAACAACCCGAAACCAAACCAAAAAACCCAGAATAACCCAATAAAATGAAATACAATAATTACCAAATAATTACCATACCTCACTACTATAAAGTTGTATGAATTACACACTCCCACATCACCCCTTAATTCCCCCCTAAAAATTTCTTTAGCACTTTTTAAATTCCTTGCAGGTTTCGAACTGATCCGCCTGCCCGAGGACAGCGTGCTCAGCGGCTTCACGCCGCTGATGTACACCTCCGACGAGGCCGCCTACGCGCCCAAGGACGTCGACGTCGAGACGGCCCATCTGACCCAAAGGGTGGCCAAGCTGTTGTTCTTCGGCACAGTCTATCTCTGCGGCGTCGATCCGCCTGTACTCAAATTGGAGATCGAAGACGGCGTCAGGGAGTACGTTTCGGTCGTTTGCGCGAGCAGCAGCAGGGATTCCCCGCCGCACGCTGAACTGGTAAGTCCTCTAGATTTGATCCTGCTGTGCTGCAGATGGTTCTTGTTCCTTTTTTCAGTGTTTTTTTGGTGCACAAAGATCGTTTTTGGCGATATTTGTTGAGTAAAGGTATAGATTTAATCCTGCTGCAGATGGGATGAACTCGATCCTGAGCTTTCTTCAAGCTTCTTCTTCCTTTTTTCAGTATTTTTTTGGTGTACAAAGATTGTTTTTGGTGATATTTGTTGAGTAAAGATCTAGATATAATCCTGCTGCAGATGGAAAGGCTATCCTGAGCTTTCTTCAAGCTTCTCTTCCCTTTTTCAGTGTTTTTTGTGCATAAAGATTGTTTTTAGCAATTTTTGTTGAGCATAGCTCTAGATTTAATCCTGCTGCAGACGGGATGAAGGCGATCCTGAACTTTTTCAAGCTTCTTTTTCATCTCCTCTGGTCTCTTTTTACAAAGATCTCTTTCGCCAATTTGATTTCTATCTTGATCAAAGTTCAAAAGCTCCTTTTCCGAGCTTTTTTCTGTAAAAGTTTCAACGAATTTCTCCGTTTCTTTTGCAGTCGCCGAACAACGACGTCCTGCTGGAGAGCTTCAGCGACGACGACGCCGACGACAAGGAGACCTTCGACGGCGACGACGTCGCGACGGAGGGCGCCTCGACGGCCGTCAGGGAGCTGCTCTCCAGGAAGGTCGAACTAGAGAAGACGAAGCGCAGCCAGGACCTCCACAAGGAACGTGTCAAGGTGAGCAAATAATTGAAATAAAGTATTTAGCGAGGAGGATAATTTTGAAAAGGTTGCGAGAAAGGGGAGAATGAAGGAAATTTGTGACTTAAAAATGTACAATTGTTTGACTTTTAGTTGACAGTTGATTGATAATTGACTGATAGAAAAAATAATGCACAATAAATTGACATTTGTTTGACAGTTGATTGACAGTTGATTGATAATTGGCTGATAAATGACTGATGGAGAAGAAGATGTGGCCGTTTGCCGCGGGTATCGAGACCCTCGACGGTATTTACGGCGCCTGTTTGGCTTACCTTAAGATATCATCAATAATTCGGATCGCATCAACTTCCTAGTACCAGGCTATATTCTCGACCTCGTAAATTTCGAAGACTCTCTTCGTTCACTTACGGGTTTCGCATCGGTAATGAGATGCACGACGCACCGGTACTTTAATATATACCGGGTCGGTCCGCCGTGCGAGACAGACAGTTTGGATTTCATTCGAGTGAAAGAGAGATGAGGATGTGTTTCGAATTCGCAGCAGGCCGATCCGGTATGAGTTACATAGATAGCTCTTCGTGTGCGAAAATATTGGGGTACTGTTTCGCATCTAATAGGATTTATCTTTATCTTTATCGAGGAACTCTTTGATTTACCGGAGATTGGGAGAAAAGTAGGCGAGAACACGCGATTTTAGCGAACGAATCGGTTGCTCTTTTAATAAATTTATCGTCCGGTGCGCGATCGCTAATGCTACCGGTGTAAAATGAGCGATAAAATGAGAGATAAAGCGTCCGGTCGCGTTTTACAACTGTCCGGGGAGCTTTGGGTTTAATTAAAGCGCGACTAAAATATTCGAGATTACGCCGAAGGAAAAAAAAAACGCTTGATGAAATTTAGTTAATTAAATGTAGGGTGATTCGGAGTAGATTTGATGGTGCATTTATTTTTGGTAAACGAAAAACTATTATGCAATACATGATAGAAGCGAACTTTTGAGGTGTTGATTATCGGGTTTTTCGATGTTTTAGTAACGATTTCGTGAGGAGGAAATATTTTACGCGACTTTTGTGCTTTAAGGCGAGAATTCGTGAATGATTTTCTATTCAACGTATATCGTTTTATTATACGTGTTATAAAGTAGAAAGTGTCCATTTTTACATAATCGAATCCATCAAATTTTGCAATCGCTAAAAAATTAACATAGAGAGCTTCAAACTTTAAGTAGTCGAAAAACTATTTTATTTTCGATTTTCGTTCGATTTTCACTCGAATTATCGTCTAGTTTTCGAACCGGGCGAAATCTTCTTTCCCGGTTTTACCGTTAAACCGTAAGAGAATGAGAGAAAGCACATATGGGAGAAGAAGCAAGATTTTATATACACACACACACACACACACGACATTCTTGCGATTAAACTCCGATAATGTACGATCTATGTTGGACAATAAATCTTTGTACAAACTTGTACACACCTACAGGGCGATGCCCGTTCCTCCGGCGCTCTGCACTCTATTTTTTTTTATTACACCAGGATTTTATCCTACACGCGCATTATTTTTTTTTTCGTTTGCAGAAAATCCTGAGCCAATCGGTGGTGAGCGTCCACGTGGAGGTGAGACCCAGGTACCTGGTGCCCGACACGAACTGCTTCATCGATCACACGGACGGCATCCGAGCCATCGCCCAATCCCATTCCTACACTTTGATGGTGCCCATTATCGGTAAGTTCCAAAATTAGCGCATTTCCACGAACATTTTCGCTGCATATCCGCGACGTTTTCGATGTCGATTGCGAGAGTATTAATCGAACTTCGGTCGCATTTTTTTCGTTCGGATTTTTTTTCTCATCGAAAACCCCGTAGAAATTCCCAACTCGATGCAATGAGTGTTAAACGTGCGGAAGTGACCGGAGGCTGAAAATCGAATTATTTGACACGAACGGGTAACGCCTTCCTCTCTTTTTCCATCTTTTTCTTCTTCTTCTACATCTTCTTTCTCTTCTACGACAATGTTATGCTCGCTGAATGGCCGGCTACTTGTAACATCGGAGGCAGGCGCGCCGGAATCGAGGCCTTTTGTTTACTAATTATTCGCCTCGGCCGATAAATTAATTCTTCGGTTCGCGTTTCCCGTTTTCGCATACAAAGTTGCGAGAGTTTGTCGTGTTTCCGGGTCGTTTCGTTGATTCATTTCTCGTCGATTAAAACAATTATTTGCAATATTTTCTCGGAACGAACCTAATGAAATAATTGCGATTTTTTTTAAACATCGTCCGGTCCAGATTGTTTTAGATTATTCGGTCCAGATTCGGAGATAAATGAGGAAGCGGCCATTAAAGCTCGTTGAACTTTCATAATAACCCCTCTTTTTTCAAACAGACAATTAACGTACTGTATGCAAAACGGTTTTTTTACGATTAATTCCAAACTGAAAGGCCATTCAAACGATTTTTTTTTATCGTTCCTCGCACAGAAATGTCTACATACAGGGTGCGACAAGAAATTACTCCTAAAGAAAGATCTTTTTATTTGAAAGATCTGCGAGGATTTCTTCATAAAAAGAATCGATTTTGAGGCAATTCATCTCGACCTGAAAATCGAAAATTGGAGGCACCAGAGGCGAGGCGGGTCGATTAAAACGGGGTATAAGAGAAGAAGAAACAAATAAAAAATAAAAAAAAACTCTGGGTAATTTTACGGCTAGAGAAACGAGCCGTTCTCGCATCGGCATAAACACGAAAACCAATGAAGATGCAAATTTTCGCATACGGAAGCTCGTTCGGCCTGGCCATCGGTTCACACGCTAAACTCCTCGCACAAGCGTGCACAATTTTAATGCGCCAAACGGCCCGAGCAATGCGGAATAAACGCGCTGACAAACAACAGAAAACCGACGTTTACATACACATTTCTCGTATTCAATATGTGCTATGTGCTATGTACAGGGCGAGTCACGCCCGATCCGACGGATTATTATTTGTTAGACAAAACGGTCGATTGAATAGCTTCAAATGTTTTCTGGAATTGTTCGAAATGTTTCTAGATAGTTCTAAGATCGTCCTGAACTGTTTTAAATGAACATAGTCAGTTCTAGAATGGTTCGAAAAGATTTTATATAGTTCTAATTGGTTCTAAGATCGTCCTGAACTGTTTCAAATGAACATAGTCAGCTCTAGAATTGTTCGAAATGATTCTAGATAACTGTAAGATCGTCCTGAACTGTTTCAAATGAACATAGTCAGTTCTAGAATGGTTCGAAATAATTGTAGGTAGTTCTAAATGCTTCTAAGATCGTCCTGAACTGTTTTAAATGCACACAGCTGGTTACAGAATTGTTCAAATGAACATAGTCTGTTCTAGAATGGCTCGAAATGATTCTAAATACTCCTACTAACTTCCTGAAGAAGAAGCAAACGAAGCAATTTCAATACTTTTTAGACAAAAATTACTACTTTTTTGGAACGAAACGTGTCGTTTTCTTTCAGTCCTGAGCGAACTGGAGGGCCTGTCGAGGGGCGGCAAAGCGCCGGCGCCGGACTCTCGCGACCTCCTCGACCCGGAGCACGTGAAGAAGGTGGCGGCGTCCGCCAAGGACGCCTTGGAGTTCCTCAAGAAGCGCCACGCGTCGGTCAAGTGCGTCACCACCAAGGGCGTCATTTTGCCGTCGACGAGCTTCTCCACCGAGGACGATGCGACGTGGGACAACGGCTTCAGGAACGACGACAAAATCCTGGCCACTTGCATCGGATTGTGCAAAGGATACAAGGAGACGGCCGGCCAGGAAGCCGGTGAAGGTAAGACGATGATATCGTGAAATATGTTGTGGAAAAACTCAACCAACTTTACCCCATTTTCTTCTTCTATGCGAGAGTAAGGTGAAGAGTTCTCGGCCTGGGAACGAAAGATTATGATCTTGGTTCAGCGTTTTTCCAGCGTCCTGGAAGGCTGCTTTTTAGGCCGAGAACTCTCCTTGCGTTGGAGAGATTTTTTTTGAGTTAATTGCGAGATTTGGGTTTTGTTTTTTGCGCAGGGGAACCGCGCCATTTGGTCCGGGAGGTGGTTCTGTTGACGGAAGATCGAAATTTGCGAGTGAAAGCGTACGCGCGGGACGTTCCCGTCAGGGAATTGCCCGATTTCATGCGTTGGGCCGGACTGGGATGAACCTGATGGGAAAATTTATAGTAATGCCAAAGCAGCTGCTCTCTTCGTCCCGGGAATTGTGCCCTTATAGTCTGGTAAGTCTGATAGAATTTCCTCAACGACGTGGTGATCTTGATCGTGGTGATACAGAGTTGTTTATTTTTCTATTGCAGGTGACGATGTGGTGTGTTTAATGATCAAATTCGATAATCAAATATTCTCACTTAACGCGGAAAATTTTTTATTAGCTCTTGTTAGCATCACAATTCATCATCCGATTGGGTTGCGTCGCTGCATTTTCCTCCCTGTGTTTTTTTTTTGTTTATTTACTTTATTTTTATTTTTTCGAGTCCTGGAAGTATCGGATTAGCGTTGGTACCAAAAAATTCACTAATTTTAATCGTTTCGCTCAAATTGTTTTTTTATTATTAAATTTGTGGACGAGTGAGGCAAGTGGGAGAAGCGCAAATGTTTGTCGGGTTTTATTAATCACTTTTTGTAAGGAAATTGAGTGGGAAATTTTGACGATTTTTCGGTACCATAGCGATCGAATATTATTGTTAAACAAATTAATGTTCATTTGAATGATAATAAATTATGAATAAGTTTTTGGTGCTGCTGTTATTGCGAATTTGTCCGATCGTTTTGTTTGTACATTGTTTTTATTTTTCTCTTACGTGCCATTTTGTCGCTATATTAATCGTGTAGTTTAAAAAAAACGAATAATTCCAAGAGATATCCAGTGTTTGTGCCTCAAACGATTTTTCCTTTTATTTTTTAATATACACTTTATTTTTTAAGTATTATTTTATTACTAAGCGATTCAAATATCGTTTGAGCCACTGAATAAAAATACTTAGAAGTTAATCACCCTTTTTAGCGTAGCTTTTTTTTGATGTACTTATTTGTATAATTTTACTTATTATTTTGCGTTTGTCGTGCCATCATTATTTGTTCTATATTGGCAAAAGAAACCTTTTTTTAAAACTAAAAGGAGCAATTCTTATTATGATATACGATTTTATTAAAATGTTGCAATTGTTTGCTCAGGAATATTAGGAGAATAAAAGATTTTATTAAGTTTTTTGTGATTTGTTTCGAATATACCTACCTGCACCCAACCTATTTCCATACACTAAACAATTAACCTGTTATTTAAACGATACATATCAAAGCGACGAACTCAGGAAACGGCGGACGGTTTTACCGTACATTCGGTATATTTATTTAAGGAAAAATAACAGGCTTTTAATGTCGCTTTCCTGCACTAAAATACAACAATCGCTCTTAGGTGGAACTAATTTAGAGTAATACATATATGCATGAAGGAGCAAAGTAATTCGACTCGATGTTTTTATATGGAAGAAGGTAATAAGATAATAAAGCGCCCGGCATTTTTCGCGACTATCCCACGAACAAGGATAACGCGATGTCCCATTAGAAGAGCGAAAAAAGAAGGCGCCTAAATGGGAAATTTATTCCCATCAAATCTATAAATAATGTATAAATCAGCGTTGTCCCACAGGAAATTTCGAAGGAAATTTTCAGCGTATTTAAAATGGTATTAGTTAATTAATTCGGTATACCTACATACGTGATGTAATGTAATGTAAAATATGAATCGGGTTTTTTCTCATGAAATAATCTCGCCGTTGCCTAATTGGCGTTCTCACGTGATTGCGGAGCCTAACGTACTCTTACGGGCAAGAAGATGGTTTACCGTTCAAGTGAATTATGCGTTTATAATTATAGACGGCTCATTTAGCATTCAATATACAACGCTCTCGATAATTTTTTTACACCTATGATAATTGCCAGAAGAAGAGGATCCGCCGGTAACTCGGCGATTTGTACTCTCTCGAGGGTCTGATTAAAATAACAGAACCATTTCGATGGGTTTTTTTCGGTACAGTTATTCGACTTGCGGCCGTGGAAAATGAAATAATTACGACTGTTTTTTTTTGTTCTTCTTTCGTTTTTCGGTCCGGCGTGATGCAACAATGTTGTATTCAAATTACAACGTTCCTCTCAAAGTCGACCTTTATACTTATTTTTTCCAACGGTAATCACCAGTACACGAAAACGAACCGTTTCGAACTCTATCGAACTGTTTCAGAACCGTTCCCCACCGCTCACAGTCATTCAACAACTCTATCAACCGATCCGAACCGTTCGAAATAATCCAAGAACCTTTTTGTTTCGTTACGAATCGTTCGAAGTGGTTCAAAAATTCGTTTTGAACACGTTCTGGATCGCGCGAATTGATTCAAGAACTGTTTTCGAACTCTTCCGGACCGTTCACAGCCATTCAACCGATCCAAACCGATTCAAGAACTGTTTTGTTCTATTCTGAATCGATCAGAATTATTCAAGAATTCTTCATCCCGTTCTCTAGATCGCTCAAATTGATTCAATAACTGTTTTGTTTGATTCCAAATCGTTCAAAACTCGAGAGTTATTTTTGAACCTGTTCTGGATCGTTCGAGCTAATTCGGAACTGTTTTCGAACCATACCGGGCAGTTCATCGCACTGTTCCGATACAGTTAGGGGCGGTTCGGAGTTCACCGGTAATTTACGGATCAGTTTAGGACGGTTCTGCGTATGTGGTGCAATTTTGTAACAACTTAACGGGCGCCTGTTTGCAGAAAGAAGCAATTCTTTTGTTGCAGGACGTTGCTCGCCTCCGACGAATCGGCTATACATTCACTCGAAACGACTGATTATACAGGCGTTTAAAGACCGAAAAACGTTCCAATCTAATTACACCGGTTATCCGGAACGGTCTAATGCCGGTCCTGGAAATAAAGTGAGCCAAATCGCAAATTAGATAATGCGATTATCGTTTCGTTTTAGCGCAGTATCATCGCCGGCATTTCCTTCGTGTCTAACCGAGATACGAATCTATTATATCTTCTGCGAGTGAGCTAATTACTCCCTAATTGATCCGTCGCAATTACGCAACCGTTAGATAAAAGAAAAATTACAATAACGCCATGAGACAATGCCAAGTTCATGGTTGTTCGAGATCGTACGCTAGATTTCCCATAAATAAAAAAAATGTGTATGGAAAAAAATAAATAAACGCGCGAGAACGTCGTGATTAAATTTGAATATTTTAATTATTACAAGCGCGGAGGAATCGGCGCGCCAATGGGACGGGATAATCGAAGGAGGAGAAGAGGAAAAAAAATCGACAAAAACCACGTATTTTATGCACATACACACCTTTCTTTATTACGTTTCCTCTTCACACTTCTTAACTCGCTTTAATGTTGTTTGAAAACTGTCAAACGCATTCCGCGCGCAACACGGCGACATTTCGCGTCTCTTCGGGCCGTAAATCAAACGTTTAATATTTTCGCCCGTTTTTGTTGCCAATATCTTTCCAGTGGGGAATGGACGAACAAAAAAAACGCACACACACGCAACGCTACATTGTATCCGTTTAGTGACCGCGAGAAATTCGCGCGAGCGCTCATTCATACCGAATTTCTCCCCGTATAGTCCGGTCGAAGCGGACGCGTCGTGACGTCACGGCCGGGTTAAATTCGATAGCATGTACGCCGCTGGTGGCTGATCCGCGCCCGCTGGATTTACGACCGGCCGAATGCAGCATATTCTCGCAGCGCGGCGCAATAACTCGGGGAAAAACTGTTTTCTTAGTTTTATTCAGATAACAGCCGAGATTGAAGCTCATACGCTTGGCTCATATTCAATTTATGCGTGTAGATATTATCGTCACACCGAGGTCTGCCCGTATGCGGGACGTATTTTGCGTATATTTATGCTTTATATCGTTTGCGGAAAGCCGCGCGCTCTCGCTGCATATGAAGCGGACGATTTCTATTTTTTTTTTTGTTTTTTGCTTTCGAAGTTTTCTTTTTTATAAGTTTCTTTCGAGCGAAACCAATCGCATTATATACACAATATTCTTCCAAATAAAACAATGCATTCTCGCATATCTGCCCAGCACAAAGGACCACTTAGTTCGAAACAAGATATACGAGTCGTGACGTCACAACGGAATTAACTTGAACCGTCTATATGCATCGAAAACGCCTACTTGTCCATTTGATGCATTTTCAGATATTGTTGGTGCAAAACAAATAATACATGTCATTACTGTCGTTATACTTGCCAAACATTGTGAGCAACTTTTAAAAATAAATGCACAAAATAGATTTAGCTTAATACCGGCAGAATTTAATTTAATATTAATAAGGGATGATAGAAAATGTTAAAAAGCAGAATTAAATCTTATATATTGTCAAAATTCAACGTTTGTATATAAAATTATTATTTGAGCTCTAAATAATTCAGATTCAGAAGTTTACTCAGAAATTTCACTACATTTTTTACTCGCACTGTTAAATACATTTCAGATGATAAAGAAATTTAATGATTAATTTTAGAATTTAGCCGTTTAGAAACGTGAAACATATACCCCTAATTGTCAATTTTTTCTAGTCATTTTACCTTTTGACAATTTTAGAAAATTCTCAAATTTTGTAAAATCTATAAAACTTCGGCTTTAATTGTGATGTAGTAAATCATAGATGACGTGCACTGATATTTATTTTGCACCGACAATATCTACACTGTATACAAGTCTATGGGTGCGTTCAGGGAACGCAACTGTTGGCAACTGTTGTCAATAGTTGCCTGCAGCGGTTCCCTGAACTACAACGCTAAGCTCGTGTTGACTGGCAACAGTCGCAGTTCGAGTCAGCGTCAATTTTATTCGCTTCTATGTTCAGCATAAACAACACTATTGCACCGTTCAGAGTATACTCAACTGTTGACAGGTATCGGACTCAACATACTGACTGCTACTTCTCAACGGTTATTTTCCCTGAACGCGCCCTATTAGTAACCTAAAAAATCCACAAACTGACAACAGTGTTTTATAAGCCTCGATGACGTCACGGGGAATCTATCTTGAACAGTGCATATGCACAAAAAGCGCGAATATAACCGGGATAAATTAGGTAAATCCGCCACTGGGAGCTCCTCGCATATGCGTTATAGAAGCATCGTATAAGAGAAGAGACATCAACGTTGCGTGAGAACGCAAGAACCTCCGTGCACTTGTCGAGCCACGCCTGTCCCGTCTACTGCGGTGCAGTAGAAAAAGTACTGTTTGCGATACCCCGATCTTCCCGATTCGATAACTAAATACGAATTAATTTTGTGCCTGCATTCTGCATCGAGAACGAAACTTTTCGTCTATATGGGCAATTAACGCCGGTATAAAAGAGTATAAGTAAATCCGCTTTTTACAAAAAACTCCGTATATGAAAAGAACGTGTAATTTGTATTATTTTAAGCAATTAGATGGAGCAATCTGCGGTCGGTTCGGCTCCGCTTGCAATTACCTGAGATTAGATTTATCGGATTATTTCATTAAAAAACAATCTCGTGTGTGATATGAATCACGGCGGAAAAGATTGAGATTTAATGACGGGCTGACATAAGCCGGATTTTTCGATTCGAATCGTTTTTTTTTTCTTTCAAACGATGTACAATTAGAAAAAAATTTTATTCGATTACATTTCATTATTCGGGTCTTAAAAGCCCAACCGGCAAGTTTGTACATCTCTAATACTAATATTAAATGAAATTTCCCTGATGGCTGTAATAAAAACCATTCAATGGCGAAGGATAATTTCTTACAGCGATAAAAATTTAATCCCGGGGAAATTTTCTCGAGCACAAAACTGTTACAGCCCGCTGTGAATTGCCGAATCGGAAATTTTGAAAATGGCAAATTTTCCAAACGCGTTGTGTTTCGCATTTAACCGTTCTAATGGCAGTACAAATACAGAAGACCGTCTGAAATTCCTGCGAATAATAAAGGATGAAATTGCGCAGGTTAGTCGTAACTGTCCGAAGCGACGATCCCGGTGATTTAGAGTTAATTTTATTAGGTGGTATGTTAATGGAAACTAATTTCCTTTGGGCGATTGTACTAACTAAGGTCATGGTATTTTGAATAAAAGATCCGTTCTGACGTATTTATTGCGCCATAACCCAAAGTTAACTGTAGTTGTTAGGAGTACCTAATTCGTT